GGCTGATCGATACAAGTGGAAGATGCAATATCGCATCAGAAAAAAAAACCTGAAAACAACAAGCCCCACTCTTTTCTTTTGGCACATATCAAAACCTAACACCCCCAAAAAAAGGAATAATCTTCCGAACCAACAAAAAAGAACTAAAATGCTCAATAATCCGATTTCCATTTTTTTTTTTAAATAATAAACAAGAGAGAGAGAAAAAAACGCTGCGTATTCCTCTCAGAAAATAGGAAGACAACACGTAGTTTTCGAACGAGTACCACCACCACTCATTGTATCTGCTTCACCATCATCATCAAACACAGACCAAGATTCTCTCTTAGAACAAGAGACTCTTCTTCTACGATTCTCAGGCAACCACTTAGCTTGCATGTACCTCGAAGTTCTCCATGGTGGTCTACACATTCCTTCTTCCTTCATTGATTTTTTCATCTCACCACAAACCAAAGAAACAACTCTTTTGAGTCTCTCTTCACTCGCAACGAACACTTTAGGAAGCATCCCAGTTATCTCTTTGTAATCTTTTGTCTGTTTCGCTAACTCAAACTGAGATTTGAAATCAAGATCAATAATAACACGATTCAGCTTTCTTACGTCATCACCGTCGCGATGACTCGTCACCATGACGTCAATATACTCGTACTTCCTCGTGCACCTAAACACTCTACACCCTAAAAACATTTTCACAAAAAAAAAATTTGACTTTCTCAATGTTTGGTCTATAGGAAAAAGTCTATAAATTTTACAAAGATTAGTCACATGAATATTTCAAGATATTTTTTTTTTTTCTAAACCAAATGTGTGTTAGTTTATTATTATTTACCTTCAAGGTGATCATAAGAAGAGTCCCATGAGGTTTTAGAGATAGAAGCATTGTAGCCATCAGATCTAAGTTTGGAGACAATCTTCTTCATCACTTCTTTCTTCTCATCGTCTCCTTCGTATGATAATCTTCTTCTCTTCATAAATGCATTTATCTTTTCTTCAATCTCCATTTCTTCTTCTCTTGTTGTCCCAAGAATCTCCTGTAAATTTATATGTTAAAGGTTTAGATTTTCTCAAGAAAAAACAAAAGAAGAGAAAATGCATTGATGAAATTATGAGAAATAGATATACCTTAAGAGTGATAAGAGCTCTCGAAGATTTCTCCATTTGATCGGAGAAGGTGACCGGAGATTCAATATAATCGATCACAAGCTTCTCTAACTCTTCTTCTCCTAAGCTTCCCATCTCAAAAAAATTGTTTTTTCTTGAAAAAGTTATGAACAAGAATGAGTC